TTTGATTAAAAACCACAATTTAAAGTATACAAAGAATATCTTTTCCAAAAATAGGAAATAAAGTAAAAAAAAAATCTTAAAAACAAGGTCCTTCATCGTTATTTTTTGAGCCATTGTTATCAAAGTTAATTAATAATTTATTGAGATTGTGACAGTCAGATACGACGTCTTGTCTCTACTAGCAATTTTACTTTTCAAACAGTAATAAAATTCCAACTCAACTTATCGTAGCGATTTGTGATTTTTAAAAAGTTCATCCAAATAATAACTCTGAAAAAATATAGAAAACAATCTTGTCCAAAAATAGAAAATTAAGATTTTTTTTAAAGAAGATATCAAGAACAAGAGGGATGTGAATATTGGGACCACATGTCCAAGTTTGTTAAGACTAGGGTCCAACCGTCCAATCTTAGTCTTACTGTCACAAAAGTAATAGCTTCGAACAGCTGTTCCCCATTAATGGCCAATCCAATTCCAACCCAGTTTCATGATTTTACCCAATCAAAACATTCCAAACATCAATTACAATACGAAAACGACAAGATTTTACATAAGAATTGTTTCTTATTTGACAGATAGATTCCAATTGCTGGCGCCACCCCCTAAATCTATCGTCCGTGCAACCAGCTCATTCCGCACGGATGACTATACATCTTCACCTTCCAGCCTGTTCTATTCCACCATACGTATATTCTGTATATATATATACGCCCTTTTGACCCCCTAGTGAACCTCTTGATTTCTTGTTTCACTGTTGAGGGTTTTGCACGGAAAGGCAAATGGATCCGTGTCCTTTCGTTCGGATTGTTGTGGGGAATCTGGGGTTGAAGTTTATGGGCTCGTCGGTTTCGCAATCTTGTTATTGTAAGTTTAAGCTTAGAGGGTTTAATACTCAGTATTCGAATGTCCCTTTGCTTGTTCAAGAAAGTGATGCGATTGAGAGCAGGAACCATGCTTGTTTCAACTTGAGCAAGACGGAGCTTGAAAAACTAGTGGAAAAATCGAGTTCTAATGGGAAATTTCCCAGTTTGAAGATCGAGATTTATGGGGGGAATCGGGTGAAAAATTGTGGGTTCGTGAAAAATGGGAAGCTTTTGGGTTGTATTGTTTGCCAGTTGAATTTGAAAGGGGTTTTGGAAAGTGGGAGTAATAGAGGGTTATTGATTCAAAATGGATGGGTTTTGATTAATGGGTCTGAAGCAAAATTACATTTAAATGTGAAAGCAGAGCCTGATCCAAGATTTGTATTCCAGTTTGATGGAGAACCAGAGTGTAGTCCTCAAGTTTTTCAGGTCAAAGGAAATGTTAAGCAGCCTGTTTTTACTTGCAAATTCAGTTTCAGAAGTTCTGGAGAGAGGAATTTGAGATCCAGGTAATTATTCTAATTTTTTTCTTGTCAGTTTTAATAATTTGAATTCTTGGAATTGATTACTTTAATGAGATTTTCCTTACTGTTTATTAGTTGATGTATTTAAAAAAAAAAAAAATT